ATCTCAGCGGTGCAGGGTTTATTCAATATTCAGCCAATACTCCCACCCCTGATCAGGGCCTCAGCACAAGTTATTGAATCACCAGTGACCAGGGAGCCAACCCAGATTCAATATGCGTAAGGTAAATGCCCAATCAGGGCAAGCAGTCAGCAGGGAGGCAGCACAGGGAAAGCAAGGAGTCACCATTCGTCCAATACGTTCAACTGCAGACAAACAGGTTGCTCACAGTTGCTGCCGCGACGTGATTAAGTCACTCATGAGTCGCCACAGACTTGACACGCACGAGGCTCGATGCACGGCAGCGCTGTGGGCGCCTGCACAGCCCATTCGTTACCCTCGCGAAGCGCCCCCGCTCGCAGCGGCAGCCTCAGAGCATTGCGCGGCGCCGCGCGCAGGCCCCGCCCCCGGCCCCGCCCCGGCCCCGCCCCGCGCGCTGCGACGGGCGGGAAGGGCCGGGAGCGGAGAGCAGAGCGGGGCAGACAGCGGGAAGGGGCAGAGCGAGGCGCATCGGAGAAGAGCAGCACAGAAATGGAGGTAAATGAGAGACAGAAAGAGCACAAAAGGGGACAACAGGGAAGCCCAGAGGAGAAAGGAAGGGAGAAAAGGCAGGAGYGGACAGAACAGACAGGAGGGAAGGGAACGAGAATGAGTAGGAGAAAGAAAGAGAGAAGGAAAAATGGAGGGAAAGAGGGAGCGAGAAAGCAGGAGAGAGTGAGAGAACAAAGGAGATAAAGTCCAAAAGAAAGTGCAGTAATGGAAAGAGAAAGGGTAAAAGACAAAGAAACAAATGGGAGGAGAAAGAAGCAGAAGGAAGAACAGAGATAGTGAGAGAGAAAGAGAGTGAGAAGGWGGGAGAAAAAGAGTATGAGACAGGAAGAGAAGAAAAAAAAGGAGATAGGGAAAGGAGAGGAAAGGATAGGGAAAAGAAATAAAAAGGAAGATGGAGAAAATATTAGGGAGAAATAAAAAGAATAAGAGCAAGAACAGGTCAAAAACAAGAACAGAAGGGGGGGAGGAGGAGGGAGAATGAGAGACAAAGAGGAGAAGGASAAAGAGGGAGAGGGAGAAAGAGGGAGAAAGGAAAAGAGGCAGAGGGAAAGGAATAGAAAGAGGGAAAGAAATTATAGGAGACAGCAGAAGTAATAAAAGGGAGAGAGAGAAAGCAGGAAAGAGTGGGAAAGCAGGAAGGGAGGAACATCTGGTTTGAGAGAGAAAGAAAGATAAAGCAAGATAAAGATGGAAAGAGAAGGGGAGAGGTAAGGGAGAAAAAAAAGGAAAGCACGAATGGGAAAGAAAGAATGAGGTAAAGAGAGCAACAGAGAGAGAGAGAGAGAGGGGGGAAATGAGAAAAGAGAAATTGTGAGAAAGGAAGAGAAACAGAGAAGGCCAGAGGAAGACAGCAACGCAGAGAGGGGAAGGCAGAGAAAATGCCAGAGAGGAGACAAAAGGAGAGAGGGGGAGGAAGAAGGAGAAAGACTGAGGAAGAGTAAGAAAGAAAAGAGAAAGGCAAAAAGATGGAGAAAGAGGAAGAGAGAAGGAGAAATAGAGGAAAAGAGAAATGAGAGAGGGTCGTGAAGGAGACAGAAAGAGAGAAAAAGGAAGAAAGGAAGAGGTTTTCCATGCTGAGCAGAAAAGGGGGAATCAAGAAATAGAAAAAAAAAAAAAAAAGAAAGAAGGGAAGAAGAGTTGAAAAGACACTGATGATTGTCGACATTGGCTGTTTTTTTGTACTGATGCGCCTTTAGGAGTAGCCATTACCCCGTGCCCCTGGCACCTACCAGTGTCCCCAGAGCTCCCAGGCATCATCCCATCTCTCCCTGTCCTGTTCCTGCTCCCTCCAGGTCATGTCCCCAAACACAGCATGACCAGGGGCACCAAGGCCACAAAAAGCACACCAAAACACACMCCCCAAGGCACATTTCAAGTCAATATATAGAATATTAACACCCTTTCCATTTGGTAGCACCTGAGCCCCTGTTAAAGCARTCAATTGAGCTTAATTCCTTTCCTGAGAACCCAGCAATAGCACATCTTCTTCCTCATCATCTATTTTTAAACATTTTTTTCCCAATTCTACAAGCCCAACAACACCAAACACCTTTTTGTCTTCCATAAACATTAACATGCTTGAATTACAGACCAACAATTTACATGCACAATTTGCATCCACAGAAATATTATCTTGGGCAAATAACTTGTGTCATCCCCCAAAATATAGTGGCCTCGGACACTAAAAGAAAGGAAATTCCGCTTTATCCTATCCGTCTAATGGCTTGAGCCTCCGTATGATGAATGGGCATGAAAGGCTTGTTCACCAAGACATAACACAAGTTCTGGTTTCACTGTAGTAGCAACAGTAGCAAGTTTATTTACAGAAACTCCACTGGCCCCAAGCACCTCTTTCACTGTTTGCTCAGTGTTTTCTCAGTGAAGTTACTGTGTAACCAGAGGAATTATCCCACCTGTTCTAGTTAAAAAACAAAGACAGTACATTTGTATTTCAAAACAGGCAGAACTACAGAAAAAGCTATTTAAAACCCTCTTAATCTTGATGTATCTTGCCTTTTTCATTAGTATGTTCTCAAATGCTTTGTTTAATGTAAAAGCCATCCACGCACTGAAGAAACTGTTTCAATGGGAGGCCAGAGGAGCAGATTATTCACTTAAATTTGATACATACCCCTCTTAAGTGTAGCCAAATATTGTAGCAAAAGAATTTTTGCAATTGAATATTCAAAATAATTGACCCCTAGGTGTCATTTCAGGTATTGACCTACCAGTTCCTATTTTCCTTAGATTTCTGTTATTTGAGACATTTAGTGGGTTTAGCTATAAATAATTTGATGCTTAATTAAACTGAACAATCAAGTTAAATAACCTGATTCTTTTTGGAAAAAAAAACAAATCTGCTAGAGGGAACTCCTTAAATTCACAGCATTTCCTATCATTTCTCTTTCTAGTATTGTAAGAAAAACAGGCTGTGGCCTAAAAGATAGGTCTTCACATGCATGCATTTCATATCAAGCATCCAGGAGAAGAAAACAGTTTGAATATTGAAATAAAACCACGAATAATACTACATAGCCACGATTGCAGTGATATAACCAAGCCCTAAGAGCAGTCTGTGCTTACTTCAGACAGATAAGGAAGTTCACTTTCAGACTTATCTACATATACACATATATAAATATCTTCTCTTCACTATTCCATGTTTTATAGTCTTTTTTTGTTTGTTTGTTTGATTTGTTTGTTTTTAAATCAGGACCAGCAACGAGCAATTACTGAGGTATTGGCAATATTCATTCAGAGGAATTTTCCCAGGATTCATTTAATCCGTTACTTTAAAAGCAGTTTATATACCACACCCACGCAGCAGCA